TTTTCTAGATCCAAATCGCGCTCGTTCACAATTCCGTTTCGCACTTCCTGGATAGTATCGGGCTTCTGCTCGTTTTCAATGCCTGATTCACCAAAGTCGGACCCATCGTCGCTGTGATATACAGACTGATCATTGAGATGACGTCCCGAATAAACTCTATCCACCTGAGTCATTCCTGGATTTGACAAAGACCGCAGCCTAGTCCTTAGAGAACCAGCCAAGCTCTGAGATCGTGACTGTGTTCTTGATGCATGAAACTCGGAATCGGTACTGGATATTGATGTCGACCGTGATCTGGTCGAGCCAGATTCTTTAAAATCTGACATTATGCTCATCTGTAGAACCAATCGACAATAATTAGGAAACAGAATATAAAATTATGCCTGTAAAGCCAACTAAATGTGCACGCGACACCTGAGTCACTAGGAAAGAACGAACCAGACTACAACAATGGGGAACGTTTATATATCAAATCAACAGCCACGAATAAAAAAAAATAAAAACTTTAGGCCGTCGGCATATTCCCAACCGTTCGAACGGCGATAAAGCACAAGGGAGCTTAACACCGCCAGAAAAGAACCCACAGTCTCTCCAATTTGCAATGATGAGCATAGTGATTGGGTAGTAATTAAAGCTTGACAGTGGCAAGACTCCATTTGCCCCTCTATTTCTCCCAAATTTTCTTGCATACCGGCGGCTGGACCCGTCTTCAGTTGTCATTAGGGCTGTGTCCACGCGAAGAGAACCCTGAACCGCCATCTTTGTGGCTTGATTTGAATCCTCAGGTGTCAGTTTTCGGGTCTTCGGCACACAGGTCACGTGAAGTGACTGATCGCCAACATGATATACCATATTTAGAGGCCGCTTGGTGGGTTCTCCCGGTTCAGGGATGTTTTTGATTGGCTGACACTTTGGTTTATGTCGGTTGCATAGTATCCCGGAATTATGCAGCCTTAACTCGAGGATTTGCTGACATTCTTTGATATTTAAAGTCCATGGGTGGTTTCTTCGGATGTCCGATCATTTTCGGGGCTCCGATTTACGTTGAGTTTAGTCTAGACCGCCAGTTTATAGTGGTGACTGATGCCCAATTCTTGTTTTGATATCTATTTTCCCGAGAGGAATAAATATACAAAACCAAACCAAAAGAGCTATAGTAATACCCAACAGCTCTAGTCTATGTGATACCCTATTTGACTTGCTGCAATAGCCCACTGTGTTTATCTACACATCAAAGTGATGGCGATCAATGAACCTTGAATAGTGTTCTGATAAAACAGAAAGTCTAGGGGCTTTCTAGATAGATACGATACTGTGGTGATGGATGATTTGTTGCCGAATGAAATTTGAGGTATAAGATCAAAGTACTTTTGAAGGGATTAAAAAGACACAAAGATCATCAAGCCGGTGTTTTGTCGCCTCTCTTAGATATTTCAAAGTACATTGGCCGAGCCAAGATTACCCCACACTTTCTTATCTCTTCCCAGAGATACGATTGGTGCCGATATTCCCTAATGTCCTGCCTCCTTCTGATCTCCCGGAAACAAAGATGCCGCCAGATCGACGAGTGCAGCGAATTTTCCGAGTAAGAACTGGCTGTTTGACCTGCAGGCGTCGCAAGAAGAAATGTGACGAGACACATCCAATCTGTGCTGGCTGTCGGCGGAATGACCTGAGTTGCCAGTGGCCCCCGGATGTACTTGGCAAGAGAGACAGCCTTGAGGACGAAGCTCAAGTACCTGCGATAGAGGAGTGCCGACCGAATATATTCGATGCCACTGAGGGGCTCGATGGAATGTCGATGCCTAGGAGTCCCTCATCGCAACGAGCGCCATCTGTTTCATCGAGTGCAGGGCATTCGGTGACTACTGGAGACCAGCCTGAAGACACGATGCTGCATGAGGAAATCCATAATCAACGTCGACTATCAACAGCTACCGGGGGTTCCCCTACCAGTGACGCTCTTGTCACCTCTGTTCCAGTGGGAAACGCGTTTCCGCGAAGCCTATCTATGTTGCCTGGCTATGATGCCGAGTCTTATCAGCTTCTCAGTCATTATCTGGCCACAACAGCCGACTGTATGGCAAATGGCTCTACGCCTGTTAACCCCTTTCTGGTACAGATTGTACCCCTGGCATTTTCTAGCGACTTGTTGTTGCAGCTGGTAATCACTCAAAGCGCCGCTCACCGCGCGTTTCGGTCACGGGATGAATCAGACACAATTGCCCACAGTCACTACACAAAAGCCCTCCAGCATTTCCGCCGTGGAGTAACGGACTTTATTGACGGGAAAGAATCGAACCCTCTCATGCTCCTAGTGGGGGCGCTTCTCATGTGTTTTACTGAGGTGGGAAATCCACAATTCAGAAATAATGTGTTCCATAATCTAATAAAAGCAGACAGCAAAGGGTGATATGAACGGGACAATATTCGACCATCTATCCGCCGCGAACTCTCTGTTGGTCAAATTGCTTGCCCAGAGCGACTCGGCAGTTCCACGAGACCTGAAAGATTTCGTCATCGAATACTACACCTACACTGCGACCGTCAGCATGATCTCAATCGATGCTCGCTTTAGTGGGCAGCTTTTCTTAAACTTGGATCTTGAACAACGGTCGCGCGAATTACTTCGGACCCAGTACGTGGGTAATTTGTGCGGTTGCTGGCTGGAATTATTGTTGCTGATCCCCTGCATTTTCGATCTCGGCCGACAGTGGATCATGGGCGATACCCAGGCAGCCGTTCCAACGGCTGATGATATTGCCATGTTTGCGTCCATACAAGCCCAGGTTATACGCTGGTCGCCCTACCCTAACGTTGGGGCGGAGGTCCGTCTGGCTGGGCTAATTTTCCAAGAAGCCATACTCATCTATCTATACACCTCCCTAGGTGGTTTTCAATATACCAGGGATGGAATGTATAAAGGCATGGTGGAAAACGCAGTGACAGAAGCCATGTCATACCTGGATGAGCTGTCGCCTAGTGCGCGCATCAACTCTGGCCTCTGTTGGCCGATCGCTCTGGTGGGCTCATGTCTTCTCAACCCCGACCAGCAGGACTGCCTACGAGGACGGCTGAATGCCATGATCGAGAAATTTGGTCTTGGAAATATGCATCGAACACTTCTACTCCTTGAAGCAATGTGGCGATCACCTATATCCGAGGCGGGGCCATGGAATATTTGTCGAGCAATGCAGGAAAACCAAATATGGATCTCATTTGCGTGATGTTGATCGTCATTCTGTTACTCATATTATGTACAAACTAGCAAATTCCCCACCCATTCATGCAGCTAAGTTCTTCGGTGCTTCAGTCGCCGGACCCTCAGGCGTAACATATGCCTTTGTCAAGCCACCATCAACGACAAAGTCAGTAGCATTCACGAAACTGCTCTCATCGCTAGCAAGGAAGATAACCGCATGGGCCTGTTCAATCGCCTCGCCAAACCGACCGCTAGGGAAATGCACCTCACGACGGAAGCGCTTTTCCTTATCATCACCAAGCCAATCCTGCAACAGAGGAGTACTATCTGAATGTCAGTTCCATCCAAAGTTTAAATGGGGGAAAGGGCAAAATATCGACATACTTGAGAGGCGCAGGACACAGCGAGTTGAATCGGAACCCTTCACGGGCATGGACAATACCCAGCTCCCGGGTCATTGCCAGCACAGCACCCTTGCTAGCGGTATACGCTAACTGCGGAGTGGCAGCGCCGACCAGAGCAACCATACTAGCAGTGTTGATCACGCTAGCGCGCTTCTTGCCATGCCTCCGGAATGCGCGCACAGCATGCTTTGAGCCGTACCACACACCCTTCACATTGATATTCATTGTGCGGTCCCAGATATCCTCGGGACACTCTTCCGAATCTCCATCCTTGGGGTGCATGATTCCAGCATTATTGAAGATGATATCCAGTCCACCCCAGGCATCGAGATGAGCGACCGCTGCTTCAACTTGGGATTCGTTTGAGACATCGACGACTTTGGTTTCGACTTTTCCGGTGCGGGTTGAGGCAGGCACGACACTTTCCACCTTGGATAGGGCTTTGTTGAGGCCTGCGTCACTGATGTCGGCCATTAGGACCGAGGCGCCTTCGCGGAGCATAAGGATTGTGGTTTCGAGGCCAATACCTCTGCTATTTGTTAGTTGTGCCTTCTATTGTTTGGTTTGTCATAGGTGGATAGAGGTACATACCCAGCTGCACCGGTGACAATAGCATTCTTGCCTTCAAGACGGCCGACCATTTTGATATTGTGTATGCGTGATATTATATGATAAAAGGGGCTGAGGAGAATGGGAGAGTGTGCTGCAACGGTTTGAGCGGTTGACAAGAATGAATAAGAAAAAAAGACTGCATAGGGCAGGGCCTTGGTAAAGGCCTGAATTTATACCATTTCCAATCTCTAATCTCCAATCTCCAATCTACACTGTACAGTCTCCGTATCGGACCAGCTCCCACCGATTTCCAACCCACATGATAAATTAGACCCAACCACGCGACTCACCGCGCTATAACCCCCCTTTCCCTTTTTCTCATTTCGATCCACAAAAAAAGGTGGTATGAGTTCAAAGCTCTATCGCGCTTCTACTACCCCGCTGGCGCGGTGAGCTCAACACGCGGGGCATGAGGGGTAGCTGTTAGGTAGATCTTCAACTATTCAGGTGCACGAGGCAGAGTCCGATCGTATCGTTGACTATCTTTGGTGGGGTATCGGGCTTAAGGCAGCGCGGTCCGGGACCGCGCTATAGTGGGGCTATTTGGATGAGCTTCATGCAATATAATGAGTAATTCAGATCTCCATAGATATTCAAGAGCTCATATGTATCTCAATTACAAATTTCAAGGGGCTATAATTGATCCTTGTCTTAACGGCTCTAAGTTAAAGTTGTAGGAGACAGGCTCAGATTGAGGAATAGTTGAATAAAACCAATGATATTGAAATTTCTTGAATTGTTCTAGTTTATATCACTATTTAATCATCTTAATAACTGTCTACTCATGCCGAGCCATCCTTGATGTGGAAACTCTTCAGCTTCACGAATCCATCGTATCCACGCGGGCCAAGGGTGCAACCCAAACCCGAGGTCTTCCAGCCTGTCCAAGCAAGGTCCTAATGTCCAATATTAGCATTATTGAACCAATAATAAGTCGGTTAAAAAGTTGGAAAGATGTCTTACCGGGCTTGGATAGTCACAGCGATTAATGAACACCGTACCGGCCTCAATGCGATCGATCAACTCCTCTCCGCGAGTGATATCTTTCGTCCAGACGCTCGCCGTCAGGCCATAATCGCTGTCATTCATCAATGTAATAGCTTCATCATCACTGGAGACCTTCATGATTGGCATCACAGGACCGAAAGTCTCCTCCTTCATTGTAGCCATGGTGTGGTTGACATTGGTCAAAACAACCGGAGAGACAAAGTTGCCCTTTTGGATCTGAGGATTGCTCGCCACATCGAAGCTTAGGTTCTGGGGAGTAGAGTTGACGGCTCCTTTAGCAATTGCATCCTGCACATGAGCAGTGATCTTCTCCATGGCCTGCGTTGAGATGACAGGGCCTGTAGTTGTGCTTGAATCCTGCGGATCACCGAGTTTATACCTGATTCGAATGTCAGAGAGATATACACTTTTGAATGTGATCATACTCACGATTTCAGCTCCTCCTGCACAGCGCAAACAAAGTCCTCGTAAATCTTCTCATGCACGTATACCCGCTCAATGGAACAGCAACTCTGTCCGGAATTGAAAACAGCTCCGTCCACAAGCTGCTCTGCAACGTGCTTCACGTCGGCATCTGAACGAACATATGCGGGGTCATTTCCACCAAGCTCGAGGTTGACGGGCTTGATGTGTCGGGCGGTTGCCTCCCTAAGTCTAATTCCACCTGCAGTTGATCCAGTAAATGAGACAGACTGGATCTCAGGGATCTGTGCCACCTGATCCAAAACATCCAGGTTTCCAATATGAATGACCTGAAGGACCTGAGGGGGAAGTCCTGCCTCAGTAAAGATCTCGAGTAGTCTGTTTCCAAATAGCGGGGTCTGCGGCGAAGGGCGCAATATAACACTATTACCAGCAAGAAGTGCCGGGACAAGAGCATTGACAGTAGTCAGGTAAGGATACTATCATATCGATGAGCAAGTCTGTGGATACTTCGATAAGAGTGTTTACTCACATTCCAAGCACCCGCAATAAGCACTGGTCCCACGGGAACACGCTTGACTGTTCGCCGGAAGCCGGCTTCTGGCCGACCAGGGAGATCGGACAGGCTCTCTTCAGCAATATCCATCAAGTACTCGGCGCGCAAACGCATAGTGTTGATCTCTGATGCACAGTACCGGATGGGTCGCCCCATTTGCGCAGTCAGTTCTTTGGCCAGATCATCGCGGCGTTGTTCAATAATGTCCAATGCTTGTTTCACAATTCTTTTCCGGTCCTCCAGAGAGGTTGTTTTGTAAGACTCAAAGGCTTGCTTTGAGGCAGCAGCAACCTTGATAGCTTCTTCGAGTGAAGTGCCAGGCTGGTCAAAAATGACCTCGTGGGTCGAGGGGCAGATGGTACGAATTTGGTTTGACATAGTGTAGGTTGTGTATCTGGTCTGGAAAAAAGAGTGGAATTCCGAAGGTGGGCGAGGAGGGACACTTTATAGCGCGGAGTCGGTGGCGCGGTTGCAGATCTGACACCTTATCTTCCTTTTTTTATTATTTTTTTAATTCTACATTCTACATACATGTTGTACTATTATTCTTTTGTATCTCAATCTTGTAACAATAACACTTTATTCTGTATCTGCTTAAACTATTTGGTCTTCGCATCGACTATGAATCTTGCAATTGCCTTCGCTATCAACCACCCATCATGGGATTCACCCATTCGGGATAACCCATCCTTATACAGTTCATCGCCAAATATCCCGTTATCGTGTCTGGCTTCAAGCAGACATGACATGATACCTTCATTGTATTCCGGATGTCCCTGTACCGACAGCACTTGTTTGGGCAAGTAAAGACCTTGAACTTCACATTTTGGACTTGTAGCGATATTCACGCAATCGATCGGAGTATCAAAGACAATATCCCGGTGCATTTGTTGAATACTCTGTATTTAATCAGAATTCTGCTCGATTGGGCTTGGTCGGGTGTTTCTTCACTTACCAATGTATCCTTTCCAAACAGTTTCTTCCCTGCCTCAGTCAGAGCAAGCTTCTCGACAGAAATCTCCCATCCAGCTTCATTTCTGCCAACTCGAGCTCCCAGCGCCCGAGCAAGAATCTGATGTCCGAAGCAAATCCCAACCACGGGCTTCTTGTGTGTCAAAACAGTCTCACGAATGTTGCTTGTGAGGTCACAAATCCACTGGTCTTCAGCCCAGGCATCATGTTCTACCCAGAATTATTAGTTCAAATGTTACTCCATCCGGGTATTGAAATTCATGGTAACGTACTGCTTCCAGTCAGAAGAACGGCATCGACCTTCTCTAGATCAAGAAATCGGCTATTGTCCACCATCTGGTGTTCACTAAATTCCACTGTGATGTCTTTGAATTTCTCAGATATTTCCAAGTCCTTAAAGGCTTGCCTCAAAAGGGCTTGGAATATCGTGAAGTAGTCGCCATACTTTGTGAGAACAGGCTGGATGGGCGTGTCACACACGAGAATGGCGACGTGAATGTGAATAGAGAGTGCCATACTGGATACGTGTACTTTCAATTTAGATTCTCAATGAATAATGAACCCATTTAATGCAATTTAATCTCAAGTCCGACTCTCCAGTTTTGTGTCACAATCAGTTCGACAGGATAACAGGATAAGCGCGCTATCTACAACCCCACAGCGCGGACCGCGGAGCAAGTCCGTGATAGTCATAGCTCCATGGTATCCATTGTTTTTGCGTGTACGGGGTACTTCGCAAAGAAATTGCTATCGTCTGCACCGCGCGGGACTATTTGCGGCCTGAGAGATGCGCGGCACTCATTTTGACCACATGTTGGACCCGCAACCTTACAATCCACTATTCGCGCAATTGTATAAAGCCACAGGGGCCGGCGAAATATGTCTCTTTCAATTGAAACCCCAACTGTTGGACTTCGTTAGTTAGTCCTGCTGCAATTGTTGAAATTTTCTCAGAATGACCACACCCACCATGATCACTGTCGAATCACTCCCCACCCTTCTCGCCGATGACATTAAAGTCAAGGTCGCAGGTATCGACAGCGATGGAGTGCTTCGTGGTAAGGTTATGGCCAAGGAGAAGTTCCTTGGGATTGCGGAAAAGGGATTCGGCTTCAGCTCAGCTCTTTTCGGTTGGGATATGCACGATATGCTATGGACAACCGATGCACGGGTCGCGCCCCCAGAATCAGGATACGCAGACTTCCTGGCTGTTCCAGATCTGAACTCGTTCCGCCGTCTCCCATGGGAAGAAAACATCCCTTTCTTTCTAGTACGATTCCTTGATGATGCACGCCCAGTTTCTGCAGATGGGAGGAGTATGTTGAGGAGTCTGTGCGATAAGCTTGCGGGAGAGGGGTTTCATGCTTTAGCTGGAGGTAAGTTACAGAGAAATCTGGCGAAGGGATCTGAAGAGCTGACACTAGACAGTCGAACTTGAATTTATGAATTTCCAGACTCCCTCCGAAGACGGATATGGCAGTGCAGGCTCCCAGCATCCCAACCTTGCTACTTTCCTAGAGAAAAATGCCCCTAGTGCCCTGCGACCAATTACAGCTGGCATGTTCTGCTATAGCTCAACGCGACCGGTTGTCAACAAGAAGTACTTCTACGATATTTTCAATACCAGTGCGGAGATCAACTGCGGAATTGAAGGATGGCACACTGAGGGCGGGCCCGGTGTGTATGAAGCCGTATGTCATCCATCCCAGTCGTTCCATGAACTACTCTGATACTTTACACAGGCCTTGAAGGTTTCCGAGATTAGCGCAATGGCAGACAAAGTGGCATTGTTCAAGTAAGAGCTCCGAATACAGCAAATCATCAGTTGCTTCCAGAGCTAACAAGTCGGCAGGCTCTTAACCAAATCCCTGGGGGTTGACCACAGCATTACGCCATGCTTCATGGCTAAGCCCATGCAAGGCATGCCAGGCAGCTCCGGACACATCCACATCTCACTTGCTGACAATGATGGGAAGAACCTGTTTGCAAGAGAGACACCTGAGGCAAACCCTCAATGGTCCGACATCGCACACCTTTCCGAAACAGGACGTCATTTCCTCGCTGGGCTTCTGGAAGCTCTACCAGATATCATGCCATTGTTTGCACCGACTGTGAACTCATATAAGCGCCTTGTTGAAAACTATTGGGCGCCAGTGCACATTAGCTGGGGACTCGAGGACCGGATTGCCTCAATCCGTCTTATCACACCACCAGTATGCAAGCCAGGTGCCACACGCTTTGAAGTCCGCATTCCTGGAGCTGATCTGCATCCCCATTATGCGCTGAGTGTCATCCTTGCAGCGGGCTGGAGGGGTGTACAGAAGAAACTCGAGATCAAGGTCCCACCGATGTCTGCGCGCGCCCCAGGGGACCGTCCAGAGCTTCTGCCCAATACTCTGGACAAGGCTTTGGACCGCTTCTCTGCTCCAGGGAGCATTGCGCGGGAGCTTCTGAGTTCAGAGTTTGTAGACTTCTTCACAGCCACAAGACAGCATGAATTGGGTCTTTGGAGAGAAGCCGTGACTGATTGGTAAGTCGGAAATATTGTGCTACCGATGAATGAAATACTAACTCGATTATAGGGAGTTGAAGCGATATATTGAAATAGTATAAATTTGTAAATTATTGCTGAGCGTTGAGAAGCAAATTGATTTTATGACCAGGTATTCATTCATTCATATACCAGATCTGTATCCCCGACTTTTCTTCAAACAAGCAAAATTTTGCTCTTATTATACCTCTTTTATCGAAATCAGTTAAAGTTTATTGGTTTATTAAACAAAGAGGAGACATGGGGTCTGTGTAGTTCATGGTGAACCAGTTTGGATATTTGCCATATATATATATATATAGATAGATACTCTCCAGATAAATCTCTCATCTACCTAAACCCCTCCATATGATGCGCCATACAGCAACTACTTCTCTCTCTCTCCCTCCCTCCCTCTATATCTGTGATTGAGACACAAGTCGAAAAAATGGCCGCCAGTATGAAACTAGGCCCCCGGGTCCCCACGTCCGCTTATGGTATCACAACCAATGAAGTTTTTCGTATTTGTGCATGTTTCTGCAAGTAATAGGCTTGTATCGAATAAGATTTAAACACATCGGGAACTACTAAGACTACTCTGTCGCCTCTTTTCGTTTAAATAATCCTCATCAACATACAATGCATTCAATCTCTCATATCCAGGGTCCAAGATACAAGAATGCGCTAAGGCATTTAGGTTTCCGGGTGCCTTTAGGCCGCCCACGTGATGATCGGCAGAAACACCGGGGCTCGTTCGGGGGGTTGATAGCCCCAGCCTGGACCGTCATATGTACTCATGTGTATGTACATAGCAATCACCAATTAATAAAGGCATTCTGTTCGCAAAGCCAGCGCGATGGCTTCGAACCTTCCTCTCCCTATCCCGCCGCGCACTCCCACTCCTCCAGCGGACGACGAACATGCCTCCCAGATCAACTCAGGGATACCGATCGATCGCAATTCCCTATCGCCGCTTAAAGCTTCCTTTCCGAAAGGTATCATGGATGCTGAAAGCAGAGATACTTTGAGCCCCACGAAGTCCTCGTTTAATCTGGCAACCTCGCCTGAATATGCAGAGACACCGATGGAGAATGGCTTGGGCGACACATCCCCCGCCGGGCCATTCAATTTCAACACTACTGTTATGGCGAAGAGCCCAGTGATCAAATCGGTGGGTTGAATCTCGCGGATGACCTGTGATGGTGGTGGTGCTAACTTATTCTCTTGTGTTTTAGAACATGGGACAACGTCGTGGCCACAAGTACAAACACAGTAGCATCTCGCACCAGATCTTCCTCGAGCCTCCTCCTCGCGCGCCCCTAGCCCTTCCGAACTCCCTACCCATGCCAACACTGAAAGAATGCCGATCTAGCATGTCGAAGGATCAAAAGACCCGCTTCTGGTGGAGTCTATGCCACATGTTCGTTGCGGCGTACACACTCTGGACCGCACATGGGTCCCTCGCCATGACAGCGTTGTCGCATCTGATTCTGTTTGATTCACTCGGGGCTCTCCTGTGTGTTGCAGTTGATGTTCTGGGTAATTTTGAAGTTTGGAAAAGATCGACTATCCGCCACCCGTTCGGTCTTGAACGTGCAGAAGTTCTAGCCGGATTCGCGATGGCTGTGCTTCTTTTGTTTATGGGAATGGATCTTATCTCCCACAATATACAACATTTCCTCGAAAAGTCTGGCCATGAGCCTCATCATCAGCATGATCATGATCGGGTTTCTCTAGGTAGTGTGGACGTGACTGCAGTTCTAGCCATTTCATCGACGCTTGTGTCGGCAATTGGTCTCAAGAACCATGCTCGAATTGGGAAGGCTATGCGATTTGGGTATATCCAATCCCTTCCATCGGTCTTGAGCAACCCCTCCCACTTCCTCACCCTCTCTTGTTCAACTCTGCTGCTGCTTTTACCTCTGGTCTCAATTCGGATATATGATTGGCTCGATAAGCTCTTGTCTGGCACCATTGCCTTCTCAATGTGCTTCCTAGGAACTCGCTTGGTGAAGACTCTAGGTTCTATGCTTCTCATGTCCTACTCCGGTCAAGGAGTTTCTGATGTCATGAAGGATATTGAAGCCGATGCTGCTGTGTTCGGGATTGATGACGCCCGATTTTGGCAGGTCCATTATGGGCTATGTATGGCAAACCTCAAGCTCCGAGTCAGCGGCTCTGAGGATAATCTTGCCCGGTTACGGGAGAAGATAACCAGCTTGATTCGCAACAGGCTGGGCGGGGGGTATGGCACCGGTGGCCAAAAATGGGAGGTATCTTTGCAATTCACGATTGAGCGTGCATGATCTCTTCAATTTCGATAGCTGGTGTCTGATCCGTTCAGCTGTGCATATACTACGGGATACCCCTGTATATTAGGAACGTTTGCTTCATAGCCAACATAGATGCTTCCAAGTTCGAAAATCACTGTTCGGGGTATTTCACTCACGAATGTGCAGTAGCACGTAAGTACCAATACGTAAACCTCATAATATTATTCTCAGGCGCAGTTTGCACATCCTCCACATTATATTCATGGCAAGCAACCGAGTGGCATATCATCCAAGCACGACTTACTCCCAGCGTCTTTCCAGCCGGAAGACTAAAGAGGCAGAAATCACAGCGATGCACATGATGAAGCCCAAGAAGTATGAAAGTAGCATCCGCGGTAGCAGAGGCCGGGGAATGTATGATTTGTTCGAGGTCAACATCACCGCTGCAGATATTGACCTAGTATAGTCCGGGTGGTAGATAGGATAAGTAGACGAAAGCAACGTCAAATTCTGCCCCAAGGAGGTAAAGGTTCTACGTTCATTTGCTGATTGCTTGTTAGACCATGTACTTCTAAGAACCATGTACTTCTAAGAAGCCCCCTCCCCCTCTTCTTTCCTTCCATCACATATAGGCTTGAGACGAAGTTAGAAATACAATATCTGCTTTGGGGATGGATTATAGATGAGCTTCTGTAACAGATCAGCAAATGACTGATGGTTCTGGGCATTAGGAAACATTATGCTATCAAGTATACTATCATGGGGAATATAGCCCAGGAAGTACTCGGTGATACTACGGAGATATCCGTGAATCAAAACCAACTAAGAATACATAAGAGAAAATAGACGATAAAAGAATGTAGGTATCCATCGCCAATCCAAGGTCTCCATATCCCCGACAGTCATCATTACAGAAAGCCAGATTTCCACCTTCTAGGGGAAACCTGGACAAGCCAGCTTGAAGGAGACAAAGCCAGGCTCGAGGATATCAGGGAGACACTGGCCCTCGGAGAAGGGTCCGTGTTGGAAAGGCAGGAAGTGCACAGGCTCGCCAGAGCAGCCGTCGTTGTTCCAGACGATCACACCGTGGCAGGAGCTGGTGTCCTTGGTGTCCATGCGTGCGTGGAAGGAATAGTTGTTGATACTCCAGTCACGGTTGACGGTGGTCTTGTCACAAGTCGCGGGAGTAACGCTCACATCGACAGAGAACTTGGGCTCGCCAAGTGCGGGATGGCCAACGTCACATTTCTCCCAGGACTGGAAGCTGACGCTAGCCACAGGGAAGCCGGCGTAGACAGTCATAGCAAAGGTAGCCGCGGTGGCAAGGGTCTGTGGTGTGTTAGCCGAGTGTATACATCGGAGTGCGTATCATTCAAGGGTGGAATTACCTTAGAGAAGTGCATCTTGATCAAGGAATGTGGTTGTTTGGCAAAGAAAGTAAGTTTCCGGATAGGAAAGGCGTCAAAGAGAGTGTCGATGGTGTGAGAATATTTAGGTTGAGGAATCTGACGGGGAACTGCCTCTCATGGCGTTTTAAGTAGTAGCTCCCAAGAAGCAATGGCACGCGACGATCGTGGTTGGGTAAACATTGTCTTCACACGACCTTTTCAGACATGTGGAATGTAGGGATTAAATTGAGTATTTAGTATTCTGCAGCAAAGATGCAAAGGCACTGGAGGGAAGGGAAAAGGGGTTGGAATGAGTATGGGAAGATCAAACCAGTCTTGGCAGGTAAATGTTGATCTCTCACAAGAATGAAGTACAGGTTTTACCAACTCTCCAGTTTACTTGTAGCTTGAATTCTAGCAAGCCTTGCCTGATTGTATATGATTGTCAATTGGGCTTGACTGGAGGTGGTCTGTCTAGCAAACCAGTTGTATAATTCCCAACTCAAGCGTTTGGTATAAGCATCAGGTGCGAAGAATCTGAGCCATAAGAGAACAAAACCGAAATATGACCATCAAATCAAGCTATTACATGTATATATATTTCTAGAGTACCGTCACCGAGAATCATACTCCACCCCTCCCATCAACAAGAAACTATCCACGGAAATGCAAGGCATGATCACATTGGTCTTGTGTGAGCACCAGGCTATTTCTATCGCGCTAATAATTCCAGGAGCCATCAAATAAATGCTCTTGGTTTGAATTTTTTTGTAGGAAACTTGTCAGCTACTCCATTTTACGTGAGTGGTCGTGATGGTCGTGATGGTCGTGGTGGTCGAGGTCGAGGTCGAGGTCGAGGTCGAGGTTGAGGTTGAGGTTGAGGTTGGTTGGTAGTAAATATAGAGCCCTGGTACTAGGAGGATGCAGAGCAAAAGAGCTTCCGCCCATAGCTTCAAATTCCCTTGGATTGACACTACTTATTATGTGACTAGAAAATAGCCATGCAGTTAGGCGGACTAGACACTCCCCGGGTGCAGTTCAACGGACTACTCGAGATAAAGAAACTCCAACGACCCAAACGCTTGCACGTCGCAGCCAACACTTCCAAATCAAACATTTCCCCAATAGGAATACCCCAACCAGCTAGAAGATGGTGATGCAAATCAAACTCTGGGTTCAGAGCCGGGTAAACCTCGAAGCTAACAGCATCGGACGCAACAGCCGCAAAATGATTATCCCATATAAAGCGCAGCACCCGCTCACTCTGTTCGATTCCAGCATGTTGCGGCATACCTTGTTGACTGTAAGCCACTCGATCTTCGGCCGACATGCGCTCCCACGTCCCAGGCAAGCCAACCCGCAAGAAAAAGATATCGCCCTTCTGGAATTTGATATTGCATTCGCGCGCGATCTCCTGCACTTCATCTAGTGAGATCATCTGTCGGCTTAGCGCGTTTACACTGATGCCCTTCTTCTCCGCATAGGAGACGTAGTCGATTAGCACGCCGCGCCCAGCAATGCCCTTCTTTGCCCAAAATCCGATGCCAATCCGCGACGAGTTCTCGTCTAAAATTTCCTCTGCGGTCGTGCCGCCATAGAAAAGACGTCGGTCTTGGTCTTCTGGTGTTGGCGCTGGCGCATTATGGTGTCGGAGGCCGTCCCACTGGGATGATTGTTGTGGGTTGAAGTGGTACTCGTCGTCGAAAGCGACGCCCTCGGCGACCCATTTGACGCGGTGCTCGAATGGCTTGCGCCCGAATCCTGGATTTTCGAGTCGTGAGTCTTGTGGTTTTTTATTTTATTTTATTCAACGGCCAGGTGCCCTTGTTTTACCTGGTGGGCTCAAATTTTCCATGTTCCAGTTTAAGCATACTCGCTCGCCGGTCTGGATTTGTGTTCGGGTAGCTTGAGCAACTACCTTAGGCGTTAGAAGGCGGAGCATTCCCAGTCCTTCTTCTTCTGACTTTGCGGCTCCCGGCCAGAACCGACGCTTGTCGGGGAGATCATCAAATGTCTCTGGGAGATTGGGAATGCCGGACATGGTTTGGGGTGGAAGGAGGGGATCGGGGAAGTAGATTAGTGAACGACTTCAGGACTTCAAATAGCATAAGCCAATCTTCGTAGTGAAATCGGCCACACATGCTAGACCAGTTATAGATACCCCTCATTTCGGAGGAAGTCCGGTCCCTTGACGTGGGTATGACCCCCGCAATCAAAGCTCCTTGCCAATTTAGTCGAACCAAGCAGAACAAGGCCTAAATGCCTGAGCCTCTTCAGAATATGACCATTTTGCGACGGTCCCAGCTCCAGTGTCACGCCCTATGTGTCGGCTAGTGTCGGTATTTCAGGAATCCAGACCTTTTTGTCATTCCACTCCTGCGTACCATGTTGGGACGCCTAATGAGGTAATTGAAACCATGTGTGGAAGGCACCACGTCTCCACCTACGAGTATAACCCCCCTCGTCCCGCTGGTCCCGCTGGTCCCACTGGATGAATCTACATTTGTACTGCAGCTAAACAACCTTCAAATCGTGATCGAATCAAAGTCAGATCTCCTGTTCTACCCGAGGAGGTTATACTATGTAGTGAAAAGTCCATTGTTGTATGCATATATAGAAGCTACAGAACGCAGAAAGTAAAGTACAGGGTGGTCGCCAGAAGAGCAGAGTATAGCAGGCAAGAAAAATTACATGTCATCCAGGTCGTCACTAGCGTTCGAGCCGCCTTTTCGCATATCCGACATTTCATACTCTTCCTTTCGGCTCGAAGATCCAGCACGCTCCCCGGCCGACATAGCAATCGCCTGGCGGCCAGTGTCGGAGGATTCTAGGAACTCGCGCAGGCGGCGCTTGCCTTCTTCCAGAGCTTGGTGGGAGGCTGCCTCGGTCATCTTTAGCATGGGACCCCACAGGTTGAGCTGGAAGGTGATGTATGCGCCAATGGCAAACGCAAATAGCAGGATAAAGTAAGCCGGGTTGCGCAGGACTAGAGATTACGTCAGTAGTCAGTATATGCGAAAGTGAAGGATTCATCAATGAAAACCTACCAGCCCAGATTTCGTTCCAGCCTAGAGCCAGCAACAAACCGTAGAAATACAAGGGGACCTGGGTCATACCGCCGATGGCGCTCCGCTTGGCCTCGACGTAGACACCGTCCGCGGCCTTCTTAAATCGCACAGTGAGCTCTTGGCGCTTCGTGTCGCTAAGAATTGTCATCTCTTCTTCCAAACTCTTGCCCTCATGTTCGTCCACACCCCCAATGGGAGCCAGATCTTCCTCATCCGCAGGTGTCGCGGTGCTTGGAGTGTGCCCAATCCATCGGTCAAGCGGAGGTGGGGCGGTAGTCCTTTCCAGGCGGAAACGAGATAGAAGAGGAATCACAGTCAGGGTAGACTCGCGCGCGCGGGTGTAAATGCCCTCGATGTCATCAGTTGGGCGCCAGATGCGTGGCACGCCGGCTTCGTCATAGCGGAACTTGTCCTCGAAGTTCTCCCGAAGCTTGAGGAGCAAGTTGCCCTCAATCATCTCCTCCTCAATCTTGGCCCGGAGAACACCCCAAGACTTACGGCGCAGTCGCCAAAGGCCGACATCGACTTCATCAATACTAGCATCGAAGCTACTCGCACGGTCCGTGAATCTCCGCTCGGCGTCTAGGACAGTTTCTTCAAACAAGTTCCAGATCCGATCCCAGAAGTCTTTCTCTGTAGGCTTCTCCCCGTTCTCGGGGGCACCGCCGCCAGCTCTTCCAGATCCAAGAGCATTAAATTCAAGGCCCACAGATTCACCCAGACGAGATTGAACCCACCGCTCGACGCGGGTGGCCAGACGTCTCATTTCATCACGGCGCAGTCGGGCGCTGACCTCATCCAATTCTTTCTTATATAAAGATAGTTCTTGCTTGTAGTTGCTCCAAGAGGCTCCATCCACCAATGTGGAGCGAGCGACTTCCTCGAACTTCTCCAACGAAGACTGGGCCTCCTTGGTGACGATTTCGGCGAAGTCGTAGCTACCGCCCTTCTTCTGGCCGTCTTTCACAGCAGCACTAACGGAATCACTGAAGTCGCTAATCCCAGACTTGTGAGCTGCCGACAGTTGGCCGTGGAAAAGTGCCTTGAGGCGGGTATCGACCTTGCCCTGAAGCTCAGCGCTTTTCCGTTGGTAAACACCCTTGTGGTATCGGCTAGCTTCTGTCTCAAAATTCTTTAGGGTCTTGACGCGCGCAGCACGCATGGCAGCACCAAGTCCCCCTAGGACCTCAGGCGCGCCAACACGCACGGACTCGGCCTGCTTATCCTCGAATGCGACGATTGCCTCATCGAAGCCGATCATTACCTCGCGCAAAATTTCGTCACAACGGAATTGCGCAAGCAGCTCCTGCTGTGTGGGCAAATCCAAGTCTTTATTGTTGACGATCTGATCCCAAATTCCCTCTGCATAGTGCGAGAATCCGTCGGCCGGGATGCGGCGGTGGTACTCGGGGAGGAAGACTCCTCCTTCGGAGAACTCGCCCTTCAAGGCATCCCTCTTTGGGTCTCGGTGACCTTCCCGGAAACGCAGGCCAAGCTTCTTTGCTTCCGTCACAAACTGGTCAGGTTGATAACTCTTGTGCGGCAGTCCGTAGAATTGGAAATCAAAGTAATCGTGAATTGTCGACTTCTCCAAGCCCGCAGGTTTTGATATAGTATCCCAGAGGCGGGAGAGGTCTTCCAGTAATGTCTTCTGCAGGTTCTTGAGTGGCGTGGTACCGATGAAATCACGAATGACGAAGAATAGGAGGGACCGGTGGGTAGTACTGTAGAGATATAAGCACCCAAAACGCATAGAGAAGACAATGATCAGAAGGATACATACTGTTTATCCTTGAGGAACAGTTGCAGATTCACTTCGAATACGGTCTTCAACAACCCCATATTGGCTCCTTGGTATAATCCCACCTGGTGTTCCCAGATGTTGACAATAAGGACCTCACTCGTCGCAAGCGCAAAGAGCGCACTCTTGCGCTCGAAGTCTTGATCCTCGCCTCTCTCGCGACCGTCAGTTCCCTCCACATCCATGACCAAGATGTTATCAGCCATGCGCTCCACCGCGTCAGCTTCGCCCTGCTTCTTGTTTTTCGACAGCCAGATACCCTTGGTTGTTTGCCTTCTCTCTAGTTCCGACATCACGGAGAACTCGGTACCGAACAGATGATTGAGTAGTGTGGACTTTCCGGTGGATTGCGAACCAAACACGGAGATGAGATGGTAATTGAAACCAGCCGACGTGACATTCTCAAGGGACAGGTATTTGGACAGGTTGGGACTATAGTGATGCGATTAGCATCTAAGCCTCATAATTAGATGAACCATAACAGAGGGAGGTGGGCATACTTGAACTCCTTATTCCCATCAATCACCTGCACGCCGTGCTCATACGAGGCAGTATCGCCTTCGGCGCCGATCGAAGCAAAGTGGCCATTTGAGAGAATCGACGGCGCAGTTGGACTCCTTTCCAACCCCGAGGGGCGTCGTTCAGCCATATTTATCTTCGTGTGCTCTGTGTATGTTGGTTGAGGGGAGGTGTTGAGGTGGCAAGAGCGGGTTGAAATAGGAAAGATATGCTAGGATCTAGAGGACCATGCAACTGGAAAAAAGCAACCTTGGAACAGACTAATCAAACGGGAAAATAGGAAGGATTAAGGGATCACCAGGTCGTTTCACGGGTTCATCGAGATGATCAGTCCCGAGGTCGATTGCTGGGGAAAACAGTCTTACATAAACCCCTTTAACCCCCGGGGCCGGCAACGTCACTTCTAGACCAATCTGGACCTGATTTATTGATTTATTGATTTCTCGATTTCGTTTTAATCTATTCTATTTCATTTTACAGAATATTAAGATCTCATTTCTTTTGACCCAATACATATATTGTCATTCTATCTTACAGCATATACAGATTCCAGACAGTTAAGTAAAGCCACAGGGGTATCTAAGTTCATGGTGGGGGCACACCATCTGACCAGTTCAGATTCCAGCCCTGATCAAGTCCGAGGTCAACACTATGATTTGGCCACATATACTGCCCAAAATCATCGAACAGTCCACTAAACGCGTTGAGCTCCAGGCCAACATATGGGTTTGTCACTGTTTCACTCCTCGAAACCCATGACTCGTCTGGATATCCAGACGCCATCGTGGGTGTGAGGGGAGCACCGTTCAAGACATCAGTGTTTGCAGTTGGTGCACCTTCAGGGTCAGACATTGGCGGCGTATAGAGCTCACCAGGACATTGTCCCGGGCAAGGAGCCTCCGTCCCCATTGTGCCTAATACTACCGATGTCTGCTCCTTGCTTTTGGGGGGACCCGTAGAGAACTTCGCTCCTGCACCGACCGTAATAGTACCAAAATAGGGCACTGTAATTTTGCAACTCGAGATGCTGCTCCAATCGCGCTCGAAATTCTTGGTGTCATGGATGGCGCCAAGGATGTTCGCAGACTCGGCAGCAACTGAGCCTCCTAGTTCTGTTGCCGCCTGGCGAAGGATCCCAACAACCTTCTTTACCATATCCCAGTCTTTTTCGTCTTGCTCTTTATTTTGATCTGGGATCTCATCGGAATAGCCTTGCAGGTGAATTATCAAAAGAAGACATAGCGTGAAGGCCATAAAGTCGATCATTTTGCACAAATAGGGCTTGATGTTGGATCGAAGGACGTTGTATAGCACGAGTCCTTCTCTTGCCGATTGAATGGCGGTCGTGTGGCAGGGACGGAACTGAGACTCATGGGGAGATTGCAGCATCAGGGGTAGATGGAGAAAAGCACGCAATAGCTTGAACATGAACTGCAACGGGATCCTCTCCATATAATGTTCCCGTTGCTCGCCCTGACAAGGCTCTGCGGCTTGGAAGTGACTTGGCATAGATTCCCAAGAATCCTGCAGCTCTTGGTCCAATTTTAATGTTGCTGCGAGGGTCATCTTAGAAGAGTCTTGGTTTCGGTCAACCATATGCCCCGTGATGATGCCAATGCGTAGCAGATATTGTTCGGGGGCAGATAAGGTTGAATTGAGACGTTGCTGCGTCTGTGGTAAAAAGAATTGATCGCTGATACCATAAGGCAGGCCAAGAATCAAACTCAGGAATCGATCCGATGTTGCCAGGGAACACCAGATTTTCAAGCGCCTTTCATAAAAAGAGTCGCCTGGCCTTGGAACCTTGGTGGACAGGTGCATTCCAGCTAAATGGGCAAACTCGATCGCCCGACGCATCACCAGCCAAGCTTTCCGGAGCCGGCCATCAGTCAAGTGAATCCTGTGGAGCAACATCTGACATTCTATACCGGGCAAGGTAGCCGCGAAGTTGTCATCGCGGACGATTAACCGGTCCACCATCTCAATGCATCGATCAGCGAACTTTTGAGGTTCCAAGGGAACGGTTAAAGCACCAAAGTCAAATTCAGACGGGGCATGACTTGCACTAATACATAGACACAGGAGTGCCTTAGCGACTTCGGCGGGAGCCACTAGATTATCGCAACAATTGTCATTAAAAACGAGTCTGTCGCCATGTCGATCGAACACCTCTGGGAGATGGTCTTGCCACACGAACCAATGGAGGGACGCGTTGATTATCTTATCCATATCCTCTGCGGGAGGAAGGAGAGACAGGAGTTCTGCACGCACTGCTTCGGCCTTTGGCGACATGTCTTGAACACCAGCGAATTTATCATTGTTCGACGAGTCCTCTTGGCGGCTCACGAAGTAGTTGTCAAACAGTTGGAGTATCGGTGCATTGCAAATCTGGCCACTGGATGGGCCTAGTTCGTCTGGCTCGGTAGCTAGTGACCTTGAATGGGCTCTTATATCGTCCGCTGGGTAATAATATCAGTCACGCTACATCAATCCACACACATTTGAATGACACCAACAATTATTTATCCCATGGCGCTCACAAGGCGGAGTGCTAGAGTCCCGTTGATCTAGGCGCTTGGTCAGGCCTTCTACAAGAGTCTCCAGGTGCGCGACTCGCTCGCGAAGACTGTATGGTTGTTCACCAATTTGGGAGTTCCGGTGGTAGCCGGATGATGGAGGGGTAATGACCGCATGTTCTTGATCAACACATTTCATGCCTCTGGACCGACACTCATTACAGACTTCTGGGCGGTCGGGGTGGAATGTGCATCGAATCTTGCGCCGCCGACCTATAATTGAACGCTATTAGCGCGGTCATATCAGACATTCTCCGGCGCATACACTCTGTGCAACTTCTAGTCCCCTTTCTCATCCGTTTTCGCGCCGGCTCTTGGTCCGTCCAGGATTCCATCTTAACCTGTACAACAAAAGGGCGATTATAAGATAATATGTCGATGTTGTGTTGCTAAAGATGCTGATCAGGTCAGTGACCGGTGTAGGTCGTGTAGCATCGTCGTCCTTTAGGGAGTTGTCAGAAGTAAGACAAGACGACAGAGAAAGGGGCCCAACAGCACTGAAGACCCGACGCACCCCTGGAGCTCAAATCTTACCTACGTAATCTTAAACAAAAGAACAAAAAAGAAGTCCACAGTCGTTGAATAGTTCTCATACATGTTCGTCCGTCAAGTTTGTCCGAACTCGTGCGAGATTTCGACCGGGCCAATCAAATGCAATACGCTAAGTCCGTTAAGTCCGTCTATCATACGAGGTAGACCTACTCCTAACTAGTCATTAATCTATGTATGTAACTATCCACAGCCACGTTGAGGGTTTCTCACAATGTCTGTCATTTATTTATATATGATCTCTTCTTTAATTACCTCATGTACCCCACCTCTATTCCCTCCGCCTTGTTCAGCCTACCAAGCACCGAGAGGCTGCAAGTATTGAATCATATCCGCTGCCTGTAGTTTATGATAGTTCTGCCCGGGGTGATAATGATTCCACCAAATACAGGAGGTGCCATTCTCATTGAAACAAGTGGCATTCGGAAATCCATATGCCTGAGGATCGTCCAGGATCTTTGGCATAAAGGACCAGGTGTCGTACAGAACGATAGTAGTCTAAGGATAGGTTAGTTTTATGAAAACAACGTAAGAGATGAAAACGTACATCATTGTGACTCAACTTGAAGTCATTGATCATTGATTGAAGACCGTCATTGTAAGCCTTCACCCACGTAGCGTATGTTTTGATGGCTTCCGGTCCCTCTTTGATGACCATAGGACTCCGATCTGTAGGCGGCACATTGAGGAAAAGGAACTTCCGTCCGCCAGACGCATATAACTTTTCAATGAGGAATCTATACTGAGTCATCAATGTTGGCACAAGTACACTAGGTTGAGTATTTTGATGGCCCCAGCCGATGCTACAAATTGAAAACATTAGACCATAACAGGTAACGGTGTATTAAGGCACGATACTCATTGATCCCAATCCAGAATCCAAACACTGCATTATCCGAAGACCACGGTGCAGATATAGGCTTCTTGCTATATGCTAACTCGAAGTCCCGGACTTGTGAGGTCACATCCTTGACCTTGGTGTCGACAATAGAGTTGTCGATTGTAGCTCCTCCGACGGCGAAGTTGTAGCTGAGTACCGGCGAGGCATTATATACAGTGGTCAGGTATCCGACCCAATTGATACCGCCGCTCGTTGTGCCAGTCCCTATTTGGTATTATGAGTATATCAATCCTACTTACTCAGGTGAATAGCACTTGCCTAGTGCCGGGTTTCCCATCGGGTTTGTGGTAGATGGCTGTGTACCATCAACAGTGAACTCGGTCTGGGTGTAGGAATCTCCGCTGTGCGAATGATTAATCTTCTCTCCAATCAATTAATACAACAATGATATCTTACAACGTGAAAAGATAAGTGGGTGCATCTTGAGTTTCCAAGGGTACTGCAGCAATTGTTCCACTGCCAGCCATAGGACCAAGATCATCTCGATGCTTCATGATAGTTTAGTATATGTACAGTGTCAAATACTTTCGCAATATTCAAAGAAAAGAACAAATTCTAGGAAAGCCCGCTACGACTTGTCCTTATATATTTGGTTGGCCCGCGTTTCCATTGCTCCGGTATTGTTTGTGGAGCTTTCCAATATATTTAACATTTAATATAGTTATCCTTTCGTTACGTTACTTTATTTCTCCATTTCTCTGGGTGCTTGAGGTTACTACAATGTAGTAATCCATGGATGACACCTGGGCAGCACTAGATAATGAAACTGAACTGCATAAGCGAACATGAGTTGATACCGTATCAGTGGATTGATTGTTCCAAGGTTGTATGAACTCCGATGATCTAGAAGGCCTAGTGATAAGAAATTATGACTTTGTGAAACTAATGATCCAATGAGAGATCTCAACAACGTTACTCGGTACGCTTATAATCACTGTAATGCACACCCTAGAATTGACCAGAAAGTTCCGATTCAAGGTGCAAATCTTAGTGATTTGGTAAAACTGTCCACGGCCTAGCCATAGAAATATTTCAAGGCTGTAAAGGTTAGTCCCAACTACTGAAGTAGAGATCCTGAATGCTTGATGTGCGGAGCACGATGTATACTTCTTAGTGCTATACCCCCGCACCTTGTATCGGAGGAGAGAAGTCCGTGATGCTAGACTATTGTCCCGCTATTTCGAAGCGAAGGGTTATTGACGCCACTAAGCGTATGGAGAGCTAAGGGTAAAAATGCGTATTTTATTATGATAGCTTAGCATTGAACGAATCTTGGCAGAAGCATGCTAGCGTAGCACCACATAGTAAGGTTGCTGCCAGGTGTTGCAGGCCAAGGGTGCCACAGCGCCGGACATCAGCACCCAAATCCTTGTACTGCGGCCCTAGAGCACGTGTCTAAGCCCAGCTCTATATAGTATCGATAGTAGCGCATGGATCGAATTACCTCACTTCTAAGCAAGTTGAGAATAGTGGAATACAAATGAAAGCCAGGGAGCAAAATCTCGCCTGCACATTGACTTGGAACTTGGACTGAAATTATATATGAGCCTAGGAAGAATTTGGTCTGAATACATTTTCACGGGAGTGGAGAAATGGAAGAAAATCTGACTACATCCCCAAGACAGTAGAGGTACATGAACAAGATTCAAGCGAAAACTCCGGTTTACCCCCGGATCCCTCGTGCTGATCGATGATTCCCGCGCTGTGGAATAAAAGGTGCCAAAACAAAACAAGATGTTAAAGAAAAGGGGTTCATAATACAAGGGTCAGACAGTTCGTCTGTCTGACCATGGGTGTGAGCGGACCATTTACTCGACGACACGGGTAATCAGACCAGTGGCGACGGTACGGCCACCCTCACGGATGTTGAAGCGCTGACCGGGCTCGGCAGCAACAGGGTGGTGGGTCTTGAGGATCATCTCAACGTTGTCACCGGGTTGGACACGTTTGGCCATGTCGCCATCGGGGAAGCTCAGATCACCAGCCTCATCTAGAACATAGTTAGTATCCCGTATATTTATACCAAATCAGTGGAAATTGAACCTACCAGCAGTACGGATGTAGACCTGGGGGCGGTAGTTGGCACCGAAACCAGTACGGCGACCACCCTCAGCCTCGGTCAAAACGTACATGGACACGAGGAACTTGTTGTTGGCCTTAGTGCTGTTAGGGGCAGCAACGACCATACCGCGGCGGATGTCCTCACGGCGGACACCACGGAGCAGGAGACCGGAGTTGTCACCAGCACGGGACTCGTCACAGGACTTCTTGAAGGTCTCGATATCGGTAACCTTAGTCTTGATGGGGTTGCCAGAGTCGGTGGCACCGACAATTTCAACCTCAGTATCCTTCTTCAGGAGACCACGCTCCACACGGCCAGAGACAACGGTACCACGGCCAGGGATGGAGAAGACTTCCTCAACGGACATGAGGAAAGGCTTATCCAAGTCACGCTCGGGGGTAGGAATCCAGGTATCGACGGCCTTCATGAGCTTCTCAATCTGCTCAGTACCAATGTCGGCGCGGCGGTCCTCAAGGGCGCAGAGGGCAGAGCCGAAGATGATAGGAGTCTCCTCACCCTCGAATCCGTAAGAGGAGAGCAGCTCACGCATCTCGAGCTCGACGAGCTCAAGCATCTCAGGGTCCTCGACAGCGTCGACCTTGTTAACGAACACGACAATCTTCTGAACACCAACCTGACGGGCAAGGAGCAAGTGCTCACGGGTCTGGGGCCTGTTGCGTGATTCGCGTCAGCACACTCTTCAAACTAGCTTTCTCGACCGGGGACCGTACATCTGACCATCGGAGGCAGCAACAACGACAATGGCACCATCCATGTTGGCAGCACCAGTAATCATGTTCTTAATGTAATCAGCGTGACCGGGGCAGTCGACGTGGGCATAGTGACGGTCCTCAGTTGCGAACTCAATGTGGGCAGTCGAGATGGTAATACCACGCTTGCGCTCCTCAGGGGCCTTGTCAATGGAGGCATAGTCGAGGAAGTTGGCAAGACCCTTAGAGGCCTGGTACTTGGTGATGGCGGCAGTCAGGGTGGTCTATGAATGGACGGGTTAAATTTCATGTTCGGATGGCGGAGATGTCGGAACAAGTCGCGAATAGCTTACCTTGCCGTGATCGACGTGACCAATGGTGCCTGGAATAACCTTTTAGCATGGAGTTGAATTACGCGCCAGCGTCAGGACCTTACCAATGTTCACGTGAGGCTTGTTACGCTCGAAAGCAGTAGCCAATCCACGGCCGGCCACCTTGTTGCTGAAGACATGGTGGACGGGGTTGACGGTAGTCGGACGCAGCAGGGAGGACCGGCTAGTGCGCGCCAAAAGGTTCAATGAACGGGAGATGGTCGACATCTTGGTTCAATCGAAACAAAAACGATGGAACAAGAAGAAAGAGGAAAGATTAAAGGGATGAAGTAAGGATGGGAGAGAAGAAGCCCAGATCAACACCAAATTTTCTAGTAAGATGGCTTCCGGGATGGACAGGTGGATCCTCAGGGCGGCTTAGTAATCAACCAATCACAGGCCTCCAATTGCGGGCAGAGTCGGTGTTGAACATGGGGATAATGAACCATCAATTTCATAAATCCTTCTGTGACAACTTGGTGTGATTTGGCTCGATGTGGAGGGTTCCAACCGGTTTAACTCTCCAGGGCTACTTGCAAGGTACATATGTAGTATATATGTACGAGTGACATCGGGTATCATGATATACAGACCCAACACAATTCAAATTCTTGGATAGTCTTAACAGTAATAACAAACAGCACTACACAACCGACGCCGTGTTGTACAGTTCAATGCCATATAATATACATGTAACCAATGATCTCCCCTAGGTATTCTTCTGTGCAGTAATCTTGAGTTGCTTCCCCGGTTCTCCCTCCATTGCCTTGGTTTGAGTTCCGCCGGCCTCTCTAATTGTATCCAAAACACTCTGCATGACCTGTTTGATTTCATCGACTGTAGGATTGCGCTTGCGCCTTTTGGTGGTCAACAGAACTTCCACTCTACGGCCTTTCTCCAAAAAGTTCGAGAGTTGCTTCAGGCGGTGCGACAGGTCATGCGCATCGATTGCCCAGTTCAGCTCAATTTGTTTGAATACAACCTTGGATTCGCGAGCTGCCTTTGCTTTGGCCTTTTCACGTGCTCGCACTTCTTTCTTATTGTAGATCTTGCAAACCGGCGGATTCTCATGGTCTCCCTCTTGCACCTGAAGAAGGTAGAACTCGGTGTGGTCAAAGCTCTCCAAGACATCCTCAAGTCTGGTCGGAGGGTCGAGGTCCCCTTCGTCGTTCACAACTTGGACAAATGACGCACGGATAGCTTCGTTCATCGGGGGCTTTTCAACGGGTGGTCGGTATCCCCGAAGCTCTAGGCAACGAGATTGTTGAAAAAATCGATTCTGGGGGACATTCTGAAGAGGTCTGAATGTAAGGATGCTGACTCTGGAGGTGCGAACGGGTGCGATGAAGATCTGGCGTAGGGCCTGGGCGGATGATATGAGACCGCGCGTGTGGTTCATCTTGTCGGCTGGTAGCGGGAAACGTAGCAAGAGCCGTAGAAAAGTGACGATCTCTCCAGTGAGGAGAAATATAGTGTTTTGCAACGATAATACACAGAGGGGGTTGATTGAACAGTCGACGAGCCGCTTAATATGGGGAAGTCAAATACGACATAATGCAAACATGACAAACATTCGTAAACCAACGGCATTTGGCCGGCCCCGGAGGATTACCTACATACCAAGGTTAGATGCTTCCGGCCATAACGATACATATGTATCTATCGAATAGGGTGGCCTCTGTACAATGAGGACATACACCATCTGGCGCATAGTCTAAACTAGCTGCCTTCCAAGGTTAGTACATGGAAGATGGAGGTTTCTTCCTCGGTTTTGGAGTCGGGACATAGTGGGTAGTACATACTAATAAACTAATGCAAGCTGTACTCTCTGTATTCCATAGGAAGATGAGTACACGCCAATCTTGCTTTGTGTATTTTGTGCACACAACATTTGATTTTTCAGATCTACCTACGTGCTTCATAGTTTACACTGTTAACTTGATTGGATTGCAAGTCTGCTTGCTCTAACTTCTCTCGTAGAGACTTGAATAATTCTATTTTGCTTTATTTAAGTAGCAAAGGTCTATTTTACACTTGTTAGAAGAGAACATGTTTTGATCTTACGTATATCATTCGTAGTGTGCATAACCCTGGGAACCTCTCCGTTTGCGAGAGGTATGTACTTGTTACTAAATCAGTACCCCCATGCATTGAACGCCACCTGCGCCACAACCATGAAACCCTGAATCTCCTTTCTCTCCTGACAATTTCCTCTCTTTACACCCATCCACTTTTTTTCTTCCTTTACTGGCTTGGTGTTTTTGGAGGACATCGGCTCAATGGTTGCTTATCTGTTTCTTTCTTCCTCTTAACCCCATACAATCGTTCAACTGTTATTGCGCCAGCGACAAACGCCACCTGTCACTGTACCCTTATAATTCGACAACTGCTCGAATGTCGACTGGAGTCGACAACCACAACCATAACAGCAAATCTGACTACATAGATTCAGCCATTCGCCGCCGCTCTATTTCCCACAGCGACGGATCTGCTATCTCGCGGTCTATTAAGTTCGGTCAATCCCCCGACAAACAACTCGTCAACATGGCACAGACCCAGAGATCACGTTACTTGAAGACGGGGGCAATCATTGCCTTCATCTTTATGGTCTTGGTGTGGCTCTCCCCGTCCCAGCCAAGCGCTTCAAATCTTACCAACGGTTGGTTTTCCCCTTGCGCGCGGTGCCGTTCGTAGAACTGATTATTTGGCAGAGCAACCACCTTCAAACAATGGCGCTTCCACTTCGAGAACATGCACTAAGCCATTTGATTCGTCCAAGCCTCTTATTCAGTACGCTCTTATGATCGATGCCGGCAGTACTGGGTCCCGGATTCATGTATACCGATTCAACAATTGCGGCCCTACCCCAGAACTTGAGAACGAGGTGTTCGAACAAACGAAAAAGAAGGACGGTGGCTCCTCCGGTCTCAGCTCTTTTAGAGAGGATGCCGAGGGTGCAGCTCTGAGTCTGGACCCTCTTATGGATGTTGCTGTGAAGTCGGTTCCCGAGGAGTACAGATCGTGCTCTCCGATTGCCGTCAAGGCCACCGCCGGACTTCGTCTCCTGGGTCCTGAAATGAGCGACAAGATTTTGGAGGCCGTTCGACACCGCCTGGAGACCGCCTATCCCTTCCCTGTTGTCTCCAAGGAGAAGGGCGGTGTCCAGATCATGGATGGTTCCGACGAAGGTGTCTACGCTTGGATTACGACCAACTATTTGTTGGGCAAGATCGGTGGCCCGGATGAGACTCCTACGGCCGCTGTCTTTGATCTGGGTGGCGGTTCCACACAAATTGTCTTCCAGCCTACCTTTGAGCAGAGCAAGGCTGGTGGTATGCCGGAGCACCTCGCCGCCGGTGACCACAAGTATGACCTCAAGTTCGGTGGCCGTCAATTCGAGCTGTACCAGCACTCTCATCTAGGATACGGTCTCATGTCTGCCCGTGAGCATATGCACACCGTGGTCTTGGAGGCGATGCTAGCTCAGAGCCCCAATGACCTGTCCTGGGTTCAGCAGCCTATCTCTAACCCCTGCATTGGCCCTGGAATGGAGAGAGTCGTTAAACTCAAATTCCCCGCTGGTCATCCTCTGGGGCCGGAAGTCGAAGTGACCATGGTCGGCCCAAAGGACAAGTCTATGGCCCCCCAGTGCCGTGCTATCGCCGAGAAGATCCTGAAGAAGAACGGCGACTGTAAGCTTGCACCCTGCTCCTTCAACGGTGTGCACCAGCCCTCTCTCGCGAAGACTTTCGCCCGAGAGGACTTGTACATCTTCTCTTATTTCTTCGACCGCACGGCTCCTCTTGGCATGCCGGAGTCTTTCACTCTGGATGAGCTTAACCAGCTGACCTCCACCGTTTGTGCCGGAGAGAGCGAATGGAAGGGCTTCGAGAATGTTAAGTTCGAAAACGAGGAGAATGCTCTTGTGCAGCTTCGGGGTCGTCCCGAGTGGTGTATGGACCTTAGCTTTATGATGGGCTTGCTCCACACTGGCTACGAAATACCCTTGTCTCGCGAGCTCAGGATCGCGAAGAAGATCAAGAATAACGAGCTGGGCTGGTGTCTTGGTGCGAGGTTAGTTCACTCTTTCCCATGGTTTTTTTTTTTTTTAATCAGTATACTGACCTGTTACAGCTTGCCTCTTCTGAGCCAAGAATCCGGCTGGACTTGCCGCATTAAGGAAGTGGTTTAAGAAAATGAGACGCTCGAACGGTGAAACGCAAAATTATCACTTTTTTTAATAATGTCATTCGATCATAGTGCATGATGGGTTCATGCATATATAGAGATCCGCGGATATGCTCGTGTTTTGTTTTACTATTTTCTTTTCTTCCATATCCGTTATCTAGATTTGATTTCTGATGACTTGCATACATAGGGAATGAATGTATGAGAGTCTTTGTGCATGCGATTGGTTTGGAGCCACTTCTGTAGAGAGGGAAAAAAAGGAAAGCATTAGACGCTAAATGATAACACGGATCCCACGATATGCAAATGTCAAGCCAGTAACCTTGGAAATCGCCATTGGATCAAGACCACATATCTCAATCAAAAGAAATGTCATAAATAATGCAACCCACTGAATAATCAAGTGTCTACTAAGCCATCTCCTCGATAGACGGCTTGTCCGTATTCGACTTTTTACTCTTCCCTCCCATAAGCTTCCCAATGATATCCGAGTCGTTCATCTCCCGAGGGGTCTTCCCAGCCCTAGTGGCACCCTCCGACCCTTCGTCGTCACTCTCCTCGCCACTTGAAGAATCCCCATCGCGCTTCTCTTCCAAAACCCCAAGACCAAGATCCTGAAATTCGTTAGCAAACTCCCATCCCGATCATTAAGCACTATCAACAAACTTACCATCTCAATATACTGCTCCCCATTCTCATCTGCATTGTCGAGAACAAGATCCCCAGCCTTCCCAGCTTCAATCTGCCTCTGCAAATCCTCATTTGCATCCTTCATCTTTGGCAAGAAAGCGTTGAGCCGTGACAAAATTCCCGAATCGCCTTTCATGCGATATATGCGGGGTTTCGGGCGGCCAGCGATGTGAGGTAGCGAGGAGGATGAATCAGGGGCATGCGTGTGGGTGGTGGACTCTCCGGTGTTATTCATTTCTTCATCGGAGTGTTGTTCGTCCTCCCTTTCGCTCTCGCTGTCATCCTCCGAAGATGAGCCTGAGGAGGAGGTTGGGTCAGAGTCGGATGATTGAACAGAGTTGGCGCGCTGTGTACGGGGAGCAGTGCGGTCTGCTAGGTTTGTAGTTTGTGGAGAGGCACTGCTTTCAGCAGCCTCGGATCTTGTCGTTGCTTTTGGCATATTTGTGGTGTTTGGTGGTATGCGGTTTTCTGGGAGTCGCAGAGATTTCTGGGAGGTTGCGATGCGTTGGTGAGGGATTGGAGCGTTGGAGGGCGTGCTGACAAAATATTTCGAGATCTTTTATGTGGCTAAATGTGATCTCAGTGCCCGGGTTTTGTCTGTGTTACTGGAAAAATGAAAGTTAAGGAGTCTGGTTAGAGGTCGGGCATTTTCAACTTTTTTGGGTGGAGAACTGATAACGGATAAGCTTATCGGCTATCGAGGCATGTGCCCAGGTGATCTACGTCAGCATCGAGATGCTTTCAAAACGACGTTTAGATAGAATTGAGAATACAAATCGTAGATGGCAGTGATATTCAAATGGTTAGGATCACTCTAGTCATACATGTTATTATTACAGGGTAGTATTAAAAAAGGCAAGCCGTTAAAAGGCCTCCCCGATCTTGTTATACATGGCAAAAGACCTGCGTAAAAATCATCGACTCCGGTTCCTTCTGCGACTACGGCTTCGTCGCCGACTTGGGCTTCTTCGTCTGCTAGGACTCCTTCGGCGACTGGGGCTTCGTCGACGAGGTCGACGGTCATCTGCGTCCTTTTCCTTTTCCTTTTCCTTTTCTTTTTCTTTCTCCTTTTTTTCTGTGCCAACCTCAAGATCCCCTTCTTTTGCTTGAGCCAGATCCTTGTCCCGTTCAGATACAGGTTTGTAACGGTCAATGTCGGCTAGCCGGGGTCGCTGTTCTCGCTCTCGCTCTGGAGATCGGACCCGGCGGCGGGGTGACTTGCTTCGGTTGCTCGTGGAGGGCACGTAACGATCAATATCTAGAGTAGGAGAAGGCGAGCGACGCCGAGACCTAGATCGCCGTCTATTAGATCGAGAACGTGACCGAGGACGGTCACGGGCGCGAGGGCGCGAGCGTGAGCGGCTGCGAGAACGTCGACGTATGGGTGAACGAGAGCGGCTGCGAGAACGTCGGCGTATGGGTGAGCGAGAGGGCCGACTGCGCCGAGGGCGATAATTGTCATGATCTCGGTCTCGGTTGCGGCTGCGGTCCCGGTCACGGTCCCGGTCTTTGGACCGCGATCGATCACGTATTCTATCTCTATCTCGGCCAATACTGCGGTCCCGGTCACGCCGGCCGGCGGATCGACTGCGGCTGCGACGGCTTGGCCTGTAGCTTCCACCACCTCGGTCATCCCGGAAGTCACGGTAGCCACGTCGCGCATCCATATCACGATCTCGAGACCTCACAGAAGTATCCCGAGATCGCTCACGTCGACGATCTGTGTCATAACGGGATGTGCGGCGCCGCCGCGAGCGACTACGGCTTCGATCCCGAGTCAAATGTCGAGGCCGATCTCCCCGGTCTGCAAGAGAACCACGCCTCGCGCCAGCATCTCGGCTGGCCGCTCTGGTAGATGTATTGGAAAACCTGGAATCATTGGCGTTCTTGGCCGGTCCTAATGTTGACGCTGGCGGTTTCAGTCCATTTTCAATAGCCTCGGCTTCTTCAAAGTCAAACTCGGGCTTCTGCCGAGCCTTGGCTGCGAGTTCTTCGCCTTCTTTCAAGAGCATTTGCAAAGCAGCCTCCTCAAGTGACTTCTCATCAACAAGGGGCGCTAGCACAGGAGTGGGAGCATTCGACGTAGACGACTTGTCGTGTTTTGAATCCCGGGGCCGGGGGGATAAGCCACGGTCAGAGCGATAGGCCGGAGAGCGGTCACGGAAACGATCTCTATCTCGGGTTCGACTGCGGTCACGGTCCCAGCCTCGGTATCGCTCCCTGTCTTCTCGCCTTCGTCGCTCATACCTTTCATCTCGCTCTCGTTCTCGCTGCTCGTCGAGTATCCGTTGCTCTTCGCGTTGGCGTTCACGATCGGCGCGCCTCTGTTCATCAATTTCCTTTCTCCGGGCCCGGTCTTCGTCGTCTTTCTGGCGTTCAAGTTCGCGTTTCTTTTTGCGTTCTTCATCCCTGATGCGTTTTTCCTCTTCCTCAATCTCTCTCTGTTTGCGCTCCTCTTCGCGCCACACCTTTTCCCGCTCCTCCCGCTGGGCGCTGACGTATGCTTCGTAATCTGCATCGGTTTTGTTCCCTAGCTCGAGTTCACGGGCGGCGACTTCCTCTCCAACGTCCTGGCATCGGATCTCACGAACAGATGCGAGGATAAAATCCAGGTGTTTGGATGCTAATTGGTCGATGGAGTCCTCCACGCTCTTGTAGACATCACCACGGTCCACCGCACCCTCGATTAGTGTCGCTGCTTTTCCTCTCTCGCGGGACAGCAGTGCGGGCTCGCGATCGATCTCCGATTCTGCAAGTGCGACCAACTTGTTGGTAAAATCAGTTCGAAGTTCCTGTTCGAATAGGATTAGCAGAGCGCAGGAGAACATGTAAATAATTTCTCATACTCCATCATTGAAGTCAGCCCATATTTGTTTGCGAACACTATCAAAGCCACCTTTCTTCTTGAATGAATGTAGGAGTTTGTCAATGGCTGCATGTTGCGCGGCAGACAAGGGCAGGTCATCGGTCTTGAACTTCTTGCGCTTCACGCTCTCAATATCAATAGACCGTTTAGCGGTAGAATGGACATCCTCTATCTCCTGAGGATTGACCATTGTCTCATCAGAAGCCATAGTAACACGACTGCCGTGGACAACCTTGGAAGAGAGTGATTCAAAGTCGCGCGAGCGATAAGCGATAACAGCAGTGCTCGGAAGAATAGTTGTTCCGTGATTGGGAACTGCGGCCCGCTGATTTGCTTCAACCTCGTCTCTCCTGTGCTATTGCGACGGCAGCATTCAACTCCACCTCCATTTACCCCGGCCGCTGTGGTGTTGAATTAACCAATCCACCCATCCGCCTTTTGATCCTTTTTCTCGGATCCCCTTCCGCACTCGAATTACAACCATAACCCCGCGCCCAACCGCGATCATGGTTCACAAAGTACTCTTCTGGAGTGGCTTCGGTACGTGACGGGTTCTCCCCTAGGCTCTCAATTCATTACAAGAATGTCCTGCTTAGTAGCATGGTTTTTTAATTTATTCTATGGCGATTGGAACTAACCGCGTTGATTCCACAGGCATTGCCGTCCGCCTCTGGCAACTCGGTATCGAGATGCGTCCGATCCTCGCCAAGGAATCCCTCTGGGTCTACCCTCTTTTCGCCGGTGTTGGTGGAAGCTTTGGCTACTGGCTCCAGGGTGTTGAGAGCAGACAATTGAAGATGCTTGCACAGCGCCGCGAGGCTATTCTCGAGAAGCGTCGGCGGCGAGATGAGAAGCCTGAGGGCGGTGTCCTGGCTGCTGCGTCATAAAGCAAAGAGCTATTATGATTGAGATGGTCGTTGTGTGTATGCGTTTTTCTATTTGTACCAAAATTCAACCGGTTTGATATCAGCATTCGGGTCTGCACATTTAGTGGACAATCCTTCTTAAGGTTGCCACAGATGAATTGGCATTTCTTATGTTTTTGTTCTGTTCTTCAAAATTCTGGATAAGAGTAGTCTCCAATTTGCCCAACTCTTTTTTTAATTTTACGGGGTATAAATCCCGAAGTAGAACGTTTCCAGGGTTGATATCGACCCATCCATCCCGGTCTGAGGCGTCATGAGTCAGCAAGGAGTGGGTGCCCGGCGGGCAGGCTCCCCGGGGTCGAGTACATCATCAACTCCGCTCCGTAGACACCTACTTATACTGCGCTCGTCATTCATTAGTTTATTTCTGTTTGCTCCCTCTGTAAATTAGCCGAGCTCCCCGGTCCTCCTCGGGTCTTTTGTTTCTCTTTATCGCGATGCTTATTGCCTGTCTTTGAGGAAGAGTCCGATGCCGAGACTGCGTGGCATAGATGGATAACCGCGGCTCCTTTTTCTTCTTCCTGTTGGTGTTCTACCTTCTCCTCAGTTCTCAGTCTCGACCGCCATTGATCGATGAAGATCGGGCACGGCAACGTGAGCTTGACCATGAGCGACAGGTCCTCCGGCTGTTAAATGGGTCAAAATACGGCGATTTCGATCCGCCCGCCGATCGATGGCTTCCTTTTTCGGGCCTGAGAGAGAATGACAGCTATGCTTGGGATCTTTTCCCGCAGGTCAAAGGCCTGGCTCGCCACCAATTGCAATCATCGGTCTCAAATGCTGGATTAGAACCCCCGGCTGGTCTAGAAGACCCCACCGTCTCGCCGACGTTGAACTTGACCAAACTCCTGCTTCCAGTATATCGCAACTCAACTGGAAAGCTTCGGGGAGACTGGGTCCGGCAAACTGAAGGTGCCGATCGCCGTGAGCCTCTGAACACGACAGCCATCGCTGAAGAACACGAGTACTTCACTCATGAATTCAGCCATAATATCACCGGCAATGGGGGCACCTTTTACTTCGATCTTGAAGAGGGAGGTGGCGAAGAGCTTCAGATGGGAGATGGACTTTTGAGAGAGATGCGCGCCAGTTTGACAGTCGAGAGCGAGGACTTCTGGGGAAGTACCTGGTACATCTCGTTGTTTGGTGTACACTTCCCGGACACCGGAAGTATCATTTTGACTACTTCTAGTGAGAAATTCGGTGGTATCTTCTCGTTGCCACATTTTATGCTTTCTTCTGACTCTTACGAACTGTCCCATGAGCTGCTTCTCAAGTCGCTGTCGGACACCATTTCGGACAAGCAAAATCGACCCCCAACACTGTTCCCCTGGTCCTCTTTGGCAGGAACAGAGCAAATGGAGTTCCCTGCGCCCAAATGTGAACATATCGTCTACTTGCAACAACATCCAGTCATGATCGGAGATGCCGCTGCTGACCGATTGTTATTGGAGCGTATGGAGCAAGAGCTCAGATATCCGATGGGAGCCCCAATCCCAGATCCCCCTCTTATGGTTATGTCTGCCGTTGTCTTCTCCCCAGACTGCGGGTACATACTTCAAACAAAAGGAACCCCTGAGTTCCCTCCTTCTGATTCACTATATGTCACTGGGCCCAAACATGAGGAGTACAGTAAATATGCAGCTCGTCTCATTTTCGTGGTTTCTGGCGTTTTTGTTGCACAGATCACTCTGCTTCTCCGACAGATCAAAGAGGCTTCCACTCCTTCTACTCGGAGTCGGATAAGCTTCTATACCATCGCATTGATGGCGCTGGGCGATGCATTTGTTTTGACATTCATTGTTTTGGAACTATATGCGGCAGTGTCTTTCTTGGTTCTGACCACTGCATCATTTTTAGCGTTCCTGTCGGTGAGTTATATTGGAATGAAGTTCATGATGGAAATATGGGCAGTGCAAGAGCCAGAAAGAAGAGAGCAGGATCGTCCGCCCAATCCATCACCTCCGACTACTCGCGCGGAAACTTTGCCTTTGCCTGCCACTGCTCCGGCGGTGCAAGACTCGGGTGCAACCCCAATCATCTTGTCGCCCGACCAAGATCCCCCCGACGATGAGATGGATTCACCGCCGCCACCCACCCGAACCGCTCCTCCAACTCCAAGGCAAATCCGCAGTGACGTAGGGACAATGTATGCACGGTTCTATCTTGTGCTGTTTAGCATGCTCATCCTGTCAATCTGGGCTTTCCTCCTGCCGAGACGCCTTGGCTCGATCTACACCCGCTTCTTGGCAGCAGTCTATCTCTCCTTCTGGGTTCCACAGATTTACCGCAACGTGATGCGAAATTGCCGCAAGGCTCTTCGATGGGACTTTGTTGCCGGCCAAAGTGTTCTCCGGCTCTTCCCGTTCCTGTACTTCCTCACAGCACGTGGAAATGTGTTGTTTATCCGCCCTGACTACACGAGCGCATTCATCATGACTGGATGGGTATGGATCCAAGCATGGATCCTGGTCAGCCAGGACGTTCTCGGACCACGCTTCTTTGTGCCTCGTGGCTGGGCCCCGCATGCATACGATTACCATCCCATGCTTCGCGATTTATCCGGAGCGGACGAGGATCTCGAATCCGGTGGTGGCGTTTTGTCTATCGCATCCCTGCGAGGCGATGAGCGAGACCTGGTCAGTGACTCCAAGGATGATGACAAGCAGTGGAAAGACCGCAAGAAGGCCATATTCGATTGCGCTATCTGCATGCAGGATATCGAGGTGCCTGTCCTTCCCGCACCTTCTGCCTCAGGTGGAAGTAGCGTTGCCGATGGGGCCTCAAGCATCTTGAGTCGCCGGCTGTACATGGTCACTCCTTGTCGTCATATCTTCCACACTGCATGTTTGGAAAGCTGGATGAGACTTCGTCTCCAGTGCCCGATCTGTCGTGAATCCATACCTCCTGTATAGCTTATGTTATAATGTTTTTATACATGATATCATTCACCTGCACACAGACCTGCTGCATTCCATTGTTGAGACTTGCGTGATCTAACTCTGAATACACATCCACCTGGATATATGGACCATGATTTCTCTACAGGAAAATGAAAGAACAATCCATTCACAAATATAGAAATCTTGTTGAACAGTATTATCGATCTGCTTACGGATCGACGTATCTAAACGCTTTAGTTGAAGGAAATCGGTCACCATTGGGCATACATGACAATATAACATCACACTTAAAGAAAAAGGCATTCACTACGCAGAGGCAGGCTTTATAAACCACGAATCACGACCAGTCTTTACACTCCACAAATCTAAGCATCGATAGTCGCTTTGTAGGCAGCCTCATCAAGCAAGGCATCGAGCTCAGCAGCATCAGCGACCTCAATCTCAGCGATCCAGCCCTCACCCTCGGGGCTCTCGTTGATGGTCTTAGCCTTATCCTCAAGGACGCTGTTACCCTTGATAACCTTGCCAGCGACGGGGGAGAGGACATCGGAGGCAGACTTGACGGACTCGACAGCGCCGACGGGCTCGCCGGCGACGATCTCGAGGTCGACCTCGGGAAGCTCTACGTAGACGACATCACCCAAGGAGTGGGCGGCGTATTCGGTGATACCGATCTTGGCTATAGAGGGTGTGTTAGTTACATCGTTGCTCCACATCCTGTATACTATGGAAGACCATATACAGCTGGGACTTCGGTTCAATAGGTCGAAGAGGTGTATGGAACCAATTGATCGGGGGTAGTAGGGAACTAACCAGTCTTGCCGCCATCGGCCAGCTCAATCCATTCGTGGGACTCTGTGTACTTCTTCAGTTGGGCTATAATTGCGAATTGGTGCGCCGTTAGTAAAATGCGACATCATTGAGCTCCAGGAAGCATGTTTGAGGGATTGTCATGCTTCAATGCAGTCCAAGTGTCTTATTTATCACCCTGGACAGCATTTAACAGCACCGGGGGGTTCACGGTACTCACAGAGAGGGCTCTGAGAGAAGCTCCTGGTTCCCCGCGGGAAACGGAAAGCAGGCGCAACCTGGCAGGCGGAAGCAAGAGGCTTCTGGGTAAGGACCCGGGAAGCGAAGGGGCGGATTGCGCGAGCGACGGAGGACATTTTTGGGGTATAGAGGAAAGGAATTGAAAGCGTGGAAAGTGAAATGAGAAGAGGGGAGAGTTTAAGTAGAAGGGAAAGAAGGTTGATGCCCTTCTCCGGCGGAGTTTCGTTGACGGCATTTCCCCGATAACGAAATGCCAAGACCGCGATAAGCAACGCGCTAACCTCGTCGGATTTTGCTGGCTTCAAATGGTCATCGCTCCATTTCTGTCTCTAGTACCCCCCACCCCTCGATGCCATGTTGTACGAGCTAATTGCCATTGTATGTTTTGATCTTATTGGAATTGTCATAATGACTCTAAATGATATGTCTGGATTTGCTAACCGCTCTGCGAACAGGTCCGCCCGGGCAGCCTCAACGAGGTGCGAGAGTACGTCTAAACCAACACCATCGCCGCAATCTCCATATGCGAACCTATCGAATACTAACATGCATACTTGACTGCAGAATCGCCCGTAATGCCGGTACCCAAGTCATCCGCTCCGGCGGCGTCGTTCGCGGCTACACCAACTGGGGCGCCTTCCGTCTACCCAGAGTCACTACGAAACATCAGGCCCGATACACCGAAGGTCACCACTTTATCATGCGCTTCGACTCCTCCGGCTCTGTTCAGGCTTCTATCCGCCGCACTCTCGGTCTCGACCCGCGTATGATCAACTTCTCCGTAGTCAAGCTTGGCGACAAGCTTGAGGAGATCAAGGACATCGATGGCAAGGTCCAGTGGAACAACGTTTCCACCATCACCGAGCAAATCTGATTGACGCAATTTTCTTTGACGGAAGTTTGGTTGATTGTTGATACCAGATTTAGGAGCGTGGATTTGGATTTCAGCACTTTTCTTTTTTGTTCTTTGTATTATTATGGCACGGGCATTGGGAACTGCCACTCGAACCTATCAGCACAATCGGCGCATATTGTACAAAATACCAGTTTGATCTACAAGTCTATTTTGTGGCTGTTACTACATTTCGTGTTTCCTCTACTCCTCAGTCCTCCATAAACGATGGCAATGGTGAGCACGACAAGCAGACCATGCATCTAATAGGAAGGGTCAATATATACCTCCTTATTTTATTTATAAAGAGATCGGTATGCCACATCCTCTGAACCCTACAACCATTATTCGATTTATGTAAACCTGAGAAGCGAAGTGCTCCTGCCGAAATGCACTTACTTCGATCAATCCTAAACGCTAAATTTGGATTGAACATCCTATAGATACATAGAAAACCGATTCGTATAGGAGTCATACAATCACCTTGTTCAAAACTCGGACATTTAGAACATTCATCTATATATTGTAGGGTCATGTGAGTCAAATTGACAAGCCGAGGCACCGGCTAGTCCCGTCTCTTTAATCCGGGGTACGTACCAATCCCCATACATCCATTATCAACCCAATTACCTCTACCTACGTGCTCCTCACGATACAATCCTACAGGGTTGCTATTATATAACAGGAGACTGTACTGATACTGGTTCATTAACCCCACTCTCACCCACCACAATCCCGGGGACGATCACCATCGGATCCAGGGCCAGTATTGTTGACCGGACAGGTACCATCAGCCCGCAAAACAATTCTCGTTGTCGACACAAGTAACTGACTATTTTGCGCAGACTGTACTCACGGGGGAGAAAGGCTTAAATCAAACCGCCTCTCGCCTCTTTTGCACTATGTCTCCGCAACGCGGGGCCCCGGACAACAGCAGCGAGCTGATATCCCCGCATTCTTTTGTTGAGTTGATGTCGCTGCAGCAACTCGAGGATGCCTTTGTCTCGTATCCCGATTCCACTGAACCAGAAAAGATTGAGCGGTTCCGCTCGCTAGCAATACCTTACAATCCTGGGCAGGGAGCGCGCTCCTTCGGCGGACATGTCTACGCCCAATCAGCCTATGCAGCGTCAAAGACCGTCGGTCAGGGGTTAGTGATTCACGTAAGGTCTTATACATCAATTTTCTTTAAAGACACTCAAACTGACGTACCGACAGGATATGACGGGCACATTCATCCTAGGAGGGCGACTCGACACGCCATACGTGTACACAGTGCGACATATCCGCGATGGATTCATGTACAGTACACGAGCCGTCGACGCACGGCAAGCAGGAAGAATCTGCTTCTCATGCATATGCTCCTTCAAACGCGATGAGAAGCAGCGTCTCTTTCAGCACCAGCCGACATCAGCACAAACGCGCTTCGACTCAATCCTCTCGGCAAAACGACCAGAAGACCAGTCTCCGAGTCCCAGTGTGGACGCAGAATGGTGGATCGAGGCGGTGCAGCGGGGAAATATCACCGAGCACAATTTTCCCGGTCTGGACGTGCGCAAGACCGATATGAAAGGTTATAACCGCGCCGAGGATGTCAAGCAACATCCTGAGCGATATCGCCAGCTAACGCAGTATCGGCTCAAAGGCTCACCAGACGAGGATCCTGCTGCCAGTTTGGCACAGATTCGGGAGAGGGAAGAGAACGGGGAATATGATAATTTATATGCGTGTGCGCATATGTATTCCAGTGACAAGAACTCGCTTCTTTTGATTCCGCGCGCATTGGGGATCAAGAACTGGACTGAGATGGCGAGTCTTACGCTTACTGTTATTGTCCATCAGCATGGAGAAGCTCTGCGGATGGTTGATTGGGAGGGTATTGGCGATAGCGATATTGGCGGCGCGAGTGAGTTGCCTATGAAGTGGTTCGTACAGGAGGGGTGGACACCTCGGACTACGGAGAATAGGGGGACACATGAGAGTCATATTTGGAGCCCTGATGGGACGTTGCTGGCGACTTCTTTGCAGGATAGCATGTTGCGCTTGAAGAAGTTGGGGGTTGCAAATTTGTGATTTGTAAAGGCCCCTCATATATTTATATATATAGCTTAAACTAGAAGGTTATACAGATGGGGCCATGCCAGCAAGATTAATTACCGGGAATACTCTAGCGATACTTATACCTCTTTGTCGATTATGTTCAGAAACTGAAATCGCAGTGGCGCGAATAGCTGCAACATTTGTGCAGCTTACTAAATATATTGAGCATCGAGTCCACCCGTCCATGGTGTCAAGACACAGTCAGCATACCACTAAACCCCACGAAATCAATGAAAGATATGCCATGCAACACTCACAAGAAGAATAGTATTAGAATAGGGTATGAGCTAAAACAAAGAAAAGAAAATCAAATATCCTCCCCGGATATGTTAGCGTGCTTGAAGTACTTCATGCCCACCCATGCGACAACAACCCAAACCCAAGACATAACAGCCGTAAGAATAATAAGTGCGGGATAATATCCGACAATTGGCAAGGTAGGATCATCCTCCAACTCAGGCGGCGCATAGGGCGTCTCCCCAACATCCCAAGCCCAGCTCCAAACCTCAAAGCAGCTCCCAATGCCCACAACAAAGACCAACCACGTCACAATCAGTATAATCCAGCCCCACCACTCCGTCTCGGAGTAGTCTATGTCCACATCGGGGCTGCTCTTCATCTCAACCGGGTGTGTGACCAGGGGCGAGGACTTGTGCCGGTGGACGGGTAGGTATGCCGGTTCGGGTTGAGGTTGGAGTGAATAGAAAGAACCTGAGCTAGAGGATGGTGGAGAGATGTGTAAACCGGCAGAGATGATTTTGGGGCTTGTGCTCGTGCCGGCCGCCGTGGAGGTTGAATTCGAGTGGAGGGGAGGGAAGGAGACAAGGTCCTCGTCGTCGGTGGCTTGTTCCTGGAGATTATGCTGTGCGAGGCCCTGGCGTCGGCGACTTATTGAGGGTCGGATGGATATCTGGGTGTTTGCCGCGCGAAACCAGGTCGGCTGTTGGGTATCGTCGCGGTCATCGTCAAGGGCCACACTCTCGCGCGGCGAGTATTGCGTGATTTCATTATTAGAGGGGGTTTGATCTTTTGGTTGTATAGCCGCTTGTAGGTCGGCGGCGGGGAGTCGGCTGGGTTCTGCGCGGAGGGCTTCGAGGGCTTCGGCGGCTTTTGCGGTGGCTCTTTTGTCACGCGATTCGAGCCTGGTGCCTAGCAATGCCGTTTTTCGAAGGGAGCCACGCCGGCGGCGCGTTCGATGTTGCGCGAGAGCGGCAGACATTGCCCGGCTGCTGGTAGTCCCTCCCTTGCCTGTGCTCTGCGGAATACCGGAGTGGAGGCCTTCGTCGCCATCGTGGTCCATGTCTGGGTGGTGTCGGTCTAGGGAGGTGTGTGCTGTCCGGCTTACGCGAAGGAAGGAAAGTCTGGAGAGGAGGGAGCTTGAATCGCTTCGTTTGTGGCTGCTACTTGCGCTGCCTGATAGCGTGCGAGGAGATAGTTCGTGGTCCGCCAAGCCCGCTGTCATTGTCCATTGGTGCAAGTGGAACCGGGAGCTGGCCAGCTCAACCTCGCGTTGGTGGGGACTGTTTTCGATTCTTCGTTTATTAGTTTCTTCGTTTGATCGTTTGAAGTTTTTGTTTCTGCAAAGAGATATGTTGTAAAGGAGCGTCGTTGTGTCCTGCAAAATCAGGGACTAACAATAGCAATGCAGGCCACTGGCCAAGCTTTTATCACGTGGTTGGAACGTGAATGACCTGAAAATGAGGTTTAAAAGGGCGCAAACTGAACGTCCCAGACCCATTTCGCAATCTCCTCAATTCCTTCCCCTTGTTATGACCAAATCCCCTTCTCTGGGGGGTTGTGGAGACCGCAGAAATAGAAGATCAAAAGGGATGGTCAGTGGATCCCCAGAGACTCTAACTTGCTCACCCGTGTCACTTTCCCGTATCTCAATATGCTGAGACATCTGGGCTTGTCCACTGGTGTGGTCCCACTCGTACTTATCAATGGTGATTAGTGGTCGGGCTCTGTTTGCCTTGATGGCAATGGCGACATTGGTATTACCCCTGCTGGGGTCAAGCCATATATCAATATCTCTCTGCAACCTTCTTCTAGTTTCCGAGATAGCGACTTCCACGACCACCGTAGGCCGCCTTCTAGTACCAGGAGGGGAGGGTCTGGGGCCCAATCCCCAGTCTGGCTGCTTTGAACCGCCATTGATATCGATGTTCACTTCATCATAGGAAAAAAAAGCCCTCTTAAGCCCCAT